GGCTGTCGTAGGACAGGCTGCCGTTGCGGTTGGGCAGTGCGTGGGGGGCAAAGAGGCCACGGTGGGGCGTGGGGGGCCCACCCTCAGAGCGCAGGGGCTGCAGGGCCACGTGGTCCCCGCCCCGCCGGCTGGCGGCTTTGAGGCTCAGGGAGCGCAAGGCGCCTGAGAAGGTGTCAGCAGCACTGAGTGGTGGGGATGGCGGGTAGGCCGCATGCAGGCCGCTGGGCGGGTAGTCAGGGACGTCCAGGCTGGGCTCGGATGCAAAGTCCAGGCTGTGGATGCTGTCCTCCCCCAGCGTCAGGGAGTCAGTGCCCGTGACCTGCAGGGGGAGATGGCGCACATCCATCTTGGCCCACCCACCGTGCCCTGCCCGCTCACCAGGTGCTCTGTGCCCACTAGGAAGTTGCAATCCCGGTGGCATCAGGGATGGCGGCAGGTGCAACTGACGAGCTGTTCCCAGAAGCTCTCTATCCCCTGCGCCCCACGGAGGGAAGCGAGGACAGGGTGGAGCAGAGCAGGGGCCCCCAGTATCTCTCCAGGGAAGGCTGTGCATCTGCTCCAGCCCAACTCCCCAGGGAGAGGAAGGGGCCTTGGGGCAGCCTTGGGATCAGGACCTCAAAGAGACTTAATAACTACACAGTGACCCAGGGCCTCTCCCAGGCACCCCACGGCTGAGGGTCTGGGCAGGTAGTGCAAAGCAGACAGCAGGGCAGTGCCCTCAGAGCCCAGCAGCCCAGGGGGTAGCCACAGTGACAGAGAGGGGCCTTTTTGATTCTCCATGATTCCAGGCACACAGACTTGGACTGGGACAAGAGCCTGCAGAACCTCAAAACCCAGAAGGCGCATGGGTGGGGACAAATGTGGCCTCAGGGCACTTGGCCAACCAGCCGGACCCTCCATGGGATCCAGGACAATCCCAGGAAGGAGGCAACCCACCTAAGCCCCCTCATTCCAAGAAGGGCCACCAGACACTGGCCAGGGAGGCCCAGACTCACTGCCCTGACCAGCAGGCCCCAGAGGCAGGGTCTGGAAGGATATCAGTCCTGGAGGGAGTTCCCTGGGAGAGAGGGGCTGGTCCAAGTGTGCTGGCTCAGCCATGGGCCTGCCCTCTGGTGGCACGAAGGAGGCAGGCAGCCTGGGAACCTCAGGGGTCTGGGTGTCTGCTCAGGCCGTCCGCTGCTCCACGTGAACGCAGAGAATAAATGTGCTTCCTCAAACAATCTCAAATTCCTCTGAAGCCTTCCCGAGGGCCCTGAGGACCTTACAGAGTGACTAATGGTGGAATTCCAGGCATTCTGGCACACAGCGCCCCCGGGGGCAGCGCCTAGAGCCAGCAGGCAACACTGGCCAAGGGCCGGGTGGCTAGGACTGCCTGCGCCAGCCCCTCCCAGGACACCTGGCCCTGCTCCCCTCTACCAGCCCCAGCTGGGATGCCCACACTCTCTGTGACCCAGGCGGGTCTTTCACGGGTAAGGCCTGGGGCGTGGCCTCAGGTAGGATTCCTTGGGAAGTGGCCTCCAGGGTGTGGCAAAGTCTGGGGGCGGGGCTCTGGAGCTTCCGGGGCAGGGCCTCTTGGGTGGAGCCTGCGGGGCGGGACCTCGGGACCTCTGGGCAGGGCCAGGCCTCCTCACCTGCTCGCCCGGCCCACAGAAGGGCGCCTTGGTACCCGTGGGAAAGGCGGGCCGGAACTTGTACATGGCGGGTGTCGGGGGGCTGGTCCTCTGCGCCGACAGGGCGCTCTCTGGGGAAGATGGACCACTGTCAGACTGGGATCAGTCTGTGCCCCTCCCTCCGTTTGGCCGCCCTCGCCTCACCAGCACTGCCGGGGCGTGGGGTCTGCAGGTCGCTGCCAAATGTGCCAGCCTCCGCCTTGGGGGGCAGCGGCGGCCCCAGGTCCAGCGGCTTCTCATCCAGCCGGTCCAGGCTGCCCTTGGACTGGGAGGGGGCGCGGTCAGTGGTGTGTAGGGTACAGGCCACGGGCAGGGCTTAACTGGGGACTCCATCCTGAGGCCTGGGACCTAGATGCCTCCCCCATTCCACTCAGTCCTTCCCCCTTCTACTCTTAGGCCCCTCCAACCTGACCACTTCCCACCTCACCCCATCCCTTACCCCACCCCTGGGCCCCACCTTGCTGTGGCCCAGGCCAGCCTTCAGCCCGTTGTCACTAAGCTTGACCTTGAGTGGTGCGGCTCGCTCCAGGAGCTCCGGCCGAAGGAAGGGCGGCTTCAGGCGAGCGGCGAGCGGCAGCCGGGGCGGCTCCACCACATACCTGCACCAGGGGCAGGGGGGTCAGTGGCCAGGGCAACCTGGCCTGAATGCATGCCAAGGGCAGGACCCCACCTGCCAAAAGCAGAAGTGGATCAGGCTGAGGGCCCACGGCTGCCCACCCCAAACCCCGAGGAGGCCCACTGGACACCCGCCGGGCCTCACCGGGGCGCCAGGGGGCTGCACAGCACGTGCTCCACGTTCCCATAGCAGCCGCGGGTGAAGGGGTTCACACCCCCACGGAACTTCCCCGTCACCTGTGGACATGGGACCCCTCAGCCAGCCTGGCCAGCCAGGGTCTGGCCAAGGAGGGCAGGGGGACAGGCAGGGGCAGCAGGGGTTCTGCAGAGGGGAGTTGGGCAGGGTCAGCCCAGGGGTGCCCCCAACCCAGGTCACCAGGGTCTGCCCCTGCTGTGGAGTTTCTGGGCTCTGATTCACTGGTGGCTGCAGTGCCCACAGATGGGGGCAAGGAGGGGGACAGGGCAGGTGAGGCCCCACATGCCAAACCCCACCTGGGGTCTCCAGGGCCAGAGCTTCCCCTACCACAGATGCACATCAGCCGAGGGCCCCGCCCCGCCCCGCCCCAGTCCCCGTGCAGCCCTGGCTCCTCGCTCGGCCCATCGGGGACCCTCCCATGCCCATCCCCATCACTGCGTGGCCCCACCCAGGGTCTGCACCTGCTCATTGGTGGTGCGGCCCCGAGTGACCAGCACCACGTGGAAGCCAGTGAGGCCGATGACAGGGATGAAGAAGAGGCCAGCCACACACATGACGGCCATGCTGGCCCGTTAAGGCCAACAGCCGTGGGTGAGGATGGAGCAGGCGCCTGTGGACAGACTCCCCGCCCCTCCCCACCGCCCACTCAGGGAACCCACTCCCGGGGGACTTCTGGGCTGCCGACCCAGCCCGCCAAGGCTCGCCTTCCCCTGCGAGAGGCATCCCCGGCCCACAGGCCAAGGATACGTGATGGTGGTGTGCGCGGCGCCCAGCCCCTCGGCGTGGTTCAGCACGTAGACCAGGCCGAAGGCCACGACACCCACCATGTGTGCACTGAGCGACAGCAGGAACAGGAAGAAGTAGCGGTAGTTGCGGCGCCCGATGCAGTTGTTGACCCAGGGGCAGTGGTGGTCGAAGTCCTGGGCAGGAACAGCGCGTCAGGGCACCCGGCGGGCAGGGGAGGAGGGCGTGGGCTGGGGGCGGGGCAGGCGGTCACCTCCACGCAGTTGTCGCAGACGCTGCAGTGGGAGCAGCGCGGCGGGCGGTAGAAGTGGCAGGTGGCGCACCATTTCATACGGACCTGGATGCCCCGCACATCCACGTTCTTGTACAGCGGGGCCCGGAAGTCATCCTCCTTATCCTCGTCCTCATCCGCTGTGGGCCGGGGGCAGCACGAAAGTGACTTCCCTGGCAGGAGAGCCCCTCTCCAGCTAGCCCTTCCTACCCACCCCCCACACCGCCCCCAGCCAGGCTCTCCTTTGTCAGCCACTCACACTCTAGCGAAAGTCAGCCAGATGAGCTGCCCCAGCACAGGGCCCTACCTCGGGGGAAGACGCCAGGGTCCATGAAGGTGGCCATGCTGAAGTTGGCCAGCACAAAGAGGAAGAGGATGCCATTGTAGACAGGAACGGCTGGGGACACAGCTCGTGTCAACCATGGGCACCTGTGTTGGACAGCAGTACAGAGCGTGGTCTGGGGGTGTAGCAGGTGTGTGGGGAGGGGACGCAGGGCAGAGGAATTAGGCTTGGCCACACGCGTGCAGTGCTCAGCATGGCAGTCAGGGAGACCACTGTTGCCACGGGCCCACTGCTTCTCTACTCAACCCTCAGGGGCTCCGTGTGTGCCAGCCCTGACCCAGACACCCCTGAGCGCCTGTTAGGAGCTCAACCCCCAGTTGAGCAGACTGAGGCTCAGAGAGGCCCATGGGCCAGAGCCAAGCCACATCCTCCTGCCCCAGCTGAGAATCTTTCCGGGTCCCCTGCCCTCAATGGGGAGACACAGACAGGAGGTGGGAGTCCAGGATGGGAAAGGAGCTGGCTCTGCCCATGTGCTCTGACGGGTAGAGGCCAGTGACCTGCCGGGCAGCTCAGGCCAGTCCTGGGCCTCACCCAGACCTGTCCCCAGCTTGGCAGGGCCCTGTTGCCAGGGAGATTCTGGGGTGTGGTGTGGGGAGCCCCAATCCTCAGTCTGTAAATGCATGGGGGGTTCTTCCCTGCTCTTCCCTGAGGGGTGCAGTCTCAGGGCCTGGGCTCCGGGTGCATCCCCACCCAGGCTGCCTCTTCCTTTTAGTTTGTCACCTTACTCTCCATAGGGCAGTGCAGAATACTTGGAGACTCTAAAAGCATGGCGCCCCCCACCCCTCTGCCATCTCTCATCACCCCTCGCCACTTGGCTCCAAGGCTGCCCCCTCTTCCATGAAGCCTTCTCAGACTGATGGCTCCCTGCAAAGGTCTCACACGCCTCCCTGGTGGACACTCTGGCACAGAGAGCATCTTCCTCAGGCCTCGCAGGACCTGACCAAAGCGCTCCCTCACTGAAGACTCGCCAGTCTTCAGGCACATGTCCTGTGACCCCCTGCCCCAACCCTGTGGTGGGTTTCTGCCCACTAGGCTACTACAAAGCCCCTCTGGCTTCAGGCTCACCATCTCTCCCATGACTGCTGTGATAAGCAGGGGGCACCCAGTGGGTCTGCTTCCCTCCCCGCACTCAGGCCCTCTGTGTAGCTGGGGGGCCGGTGGGGATCCCCTACACCAGACTTGACCATGTGGACAGGGCATTGTGGCCACCTGCAGAGTGAGTCGTGCCCGTGGCCCTGCCCGCCCCCAGTGTGGCACACCGGCCACACTGGTGCCCACGCCTGCCTTGGCCAGGAGCCAGCACTGCCACCCCAGCAACCACCTCCATGGTAGCGGAACTTCTCTATTTTTAGTGGAAAGCAAGAGGCTATTTAAAGATTCCGCTCCCACGGCAGGCAGCACACTCGGCAGGCTGGGAGCCGTGAGTTGCCCCTACCTCTTCTCCAGAACCCGCCGTGGAAGTGATGCACAGTCTGAGGACATGGGGTCCTCTGCCAGGAGGCCTTCCTCCACCACCCCTGCCCAGGAGGCCCAGAGCAGATTCCTTCCATACTCCCCATCCCTGAACGCTGGAGCGTGGAGTGCAGGCAGCGCTCAATGTGTTTGTGACCTCCGATCCAATGTCATTTGGCAGGATGATGGTGGGTCCCTGAGGCATGGTCTGCCCAACAGGGTGGGAGGGGGCTAGGAGCCCAGATGCCGGTGAAGACAGGTGAGAGAGAGCCAGGCATAGCCAGAACCTGGGAGAGGTGGGCACCGCGGACCCACCCTGGCGCTGCGAGCCAGCTCCCCACGTGCCTTCTGGGAGGGCTGACCATGTAGTCTGTGCAAAAGGAAAACGTGGCTCTCAGGCACCTGCACTGTCGCACATTGGGGAGCCAGCCTGCTCTCGAGAGGAAGGAACCGTCCGAGAACAGACAGACATGCAGACACGAATTGCAGCAGGCAGGCGGGCGCTGAAGGCGGGAGGACATGGGACAGGGGCCGAGCGCAGCCCTTCATCATCGCCCTCCAAGTTTTACCGGCAGATGTTGAGAGCCCACTGCCCACCAGCCTGCTCAGTGAACCATGCATCCCACCCTTCAGGCTAGGGGGCAGCGCTTCTGTCATCCCCATTTTACAATCAAGGGTATCTGAGGGCTTGTCACCCAAGGCAGGGACTGAACCCCCGCCCCGGAGGCCCACACTGCTTTGTCCTCCCTGGGCCTTGATGACCCTGAGTGACACGGCTGGGGCTGGGGAGAGCAGCAGCTGCAAGGTGATGGAGTAACGCTTGCAGTGAGGTGCTAGACGGCCTCTACCCAGGGTGGACACCACCCACCCACTGCATGCGTGGGCAGCACATACCGGGGAGGGCAGGGTGGGGCTTTAACCAGTGCTGGGCAAGTCTGGGAGGGCATGGGTTCTCTGACTGGGACCTGAGCCACTGCACCCTCCACTCACCACCTCCAGCCCCCCAGGCTTCACTCAGACCCAGGATCAGGCACTGCCATGCATCCTGTCCCCCCATCCTTGCCCCAGGGGCCTCTACCCCAAGGCTGTGCCATAAGAGGGGCTGAGGCCTGGGTCATGCCCAACAAGGACTGGCTCACTAGCCAATGCTGCCAGGGCCCAGGAACGGCTAAGTAGGGGAGAAGACAAAAGAACACACGCACATCCACATGAACGTGCAGGGACCCATGCATGCACACATGTGTAGCACACATGCAGACACACACAATGCTCCAGGCGTACATGTGTGGATACTGCACAAGCATGCATACACACACGCACGTGATCAACACAAAAGGCACGTGTGTGCCGACGTGTGTATGGATATGCACACTCGTGCTCACAATGGCACATTTGTACCCTCATTCACACACAAACACAGATGCAGACTTGCCCCTCCTCCACTGACCCACACACCCCAGCCCTCTCTGGACACCTCTCAGCTCCCTGTGGGCTGGGCAAGTGTGAGGATGTGTGAGGACACACAAGCTCTGTGGGCGAGGCCTGGCAGGCAGCACCGCTCCGGCCGCCTGAGTCTGTGCCAGGCTCCAGGAGCACCTCTCTGCCCTCAGGGATGACACCCCACTCCCCTCCCAGGGAATGGTGTGCTCCAGGCTCGCCCTGCCGGGCAGGGGTTGTACACTGCCCACTGGTGGCAGACACACTGCAGGCCCCTCCCCCGGGCCGGTCCCCCTCCTGAGCCTCCACCATGGCCCCACCTGGGCCGGCGGGAGACACCGCCCAGCAGGATGGGGTTCTGCAGCGTAGCATGCTGCCTTGGCTAAATGCAGAATGGAAAATTTTAACTCAGACGTTTTCTCTTAAATCAGGTTCTTCATTAACACTGACTAATGAAGCTCACACACGGGACACCCAGAACCAGAGGGTCTGCGGCTACTCTGCCCTGGTCCAGCCAGGCAGGGCCTCTGGCCACATGCACCCACCCTACAGACACCCAAGCGGATGGGGAAACTGAAGCTCAGGGGACCAGGGGTACACACAGCAAGTCCTGGCAGGGGGCTAACACCAAGTGTCCCCCTCCCCATATGGTCCCTGCCAGTGGCTCCATCCACCTAGGCCCGCCGCAGGCTGGCTTGGTCTTGGACTGGAACTCTCACTGTCCTAGGCTGGTCCTTGTGGCTGACTGGGCCTCTAAGCATAGGGAGGGCTGAGGCCCATCCTGGGGACCTGCCACGACATCCCAGAAGTCAGCCCATTGGCCCCAGACAGAGACAAGACAGCCCAGTGTGGGCCCCAGGCATGGGTATCCCACCAAGCAGCCCTGGCCCTCTGATGTTCACAGAGTCCCTGTCGTTCTGTAAGGTGGCTCCAGGAGGAGGAAGGGGAAGGGGCAGAGACCTGGCCTCGGCACTCTCGGACGCCTCCCAGCACCTGACCCGGCCTGACGCTGAGCCTTCTGGGGTCCAGGGGGACATAACTGTACCAAGAACCCAGGAACACTTCCTGGAGGAGGGCCACCAGGAACCTACCCTGAGGCATGCTACCCATCCTCGTGGGGGGACACCCCCAGCTCTGGGCATCCTCCCCACACCCCAGCCTTTCCTGGTGACATGTCTGAATGTCCTGCTGGCCAAGCCCCTCAGAGAGCTGGCCCAAGGGAGGGGTCTTTGGTCCTCTAGGCCTGGGCTCCCCACCCTGAGTGACACCCGGAGCTGCTGCCTACGTCCTGTCTCAAAGGGGCAACTCATATTTACTCAGTGTAGAGCGGGGGCCGGGGACCACTCAGCTTCCAGTGAAGTCCAAGGAGCAGAGCAGACAGAATCCTGTGGGGCCCCGAGGGCAGGGTAGGAAGGGCCTAGGAGCAGGTGTCTGAGTCTGCAGTGGGCCTGGGATCAGAAACTGGGCAGAGGTGTGGGTACCGGGGTGACGAGAGGCCTGTCCCAAGAAGGGGACTGCTTGGCCCCCTGCTTACCCGGAATCAGCCCACTGTGGGTGGTGTCATTGGGCCTGGGCTACCCAGCAGACCCCCTCAGGAACTACAACGCCAGCAGAACTGGGCTGGGCGCAAGCCAGGGTCCTCAATGGCCATTCAGCCAAGGAATGTGGCCGTAGTGGTGCAGGGATCCCTGTTCCAGGGGGCGAATGAGAGTCCCTTGGCAAGATGATTGCTGCACCTAGATGCCGGCTAGCACCCCTGCACCTCCATCTTCCGCATGGTCTCTCAGGCAGAGTGAGTCACTCAGGGCAGGATGCAGGGCACACCTGTGCTGCCCTGAGGCAACCCCGAACCTCTCAGCGCTGGATAACTGAACCCAGAACCCAGAACCCCAGCAGTGAGAGCAGAGGGAGGGTAGGCAGCCTCCATGCCCAGCCCCTGGGGCAGGTCGAGTTCACAGGACAGTAAGGACCCTCTGAAATCAAGGGAAGGCTCAGGACAAGCACCCTTCAGTGGGCCTGTGTGCACCTAAGGGGAGAGGAGGTGGGTGAGCTCCCTGGGGTGGGGTTGATCTCAGTTGCTTGTTGAACTTTTTCTCAGCGTTTCACAAGTTCTCATCAGAGAACACATATTCCTTTTAAAGTCAGGACAAATGCTGAATTGCATTTGGGGAGTGAGAAACCAGAACCAGCACGTGGAGGCCAGGCTGCAGGGAAGCAGGGCCCAGACTCCCACAAGACCCCTGCCCAGGCCCCACCCTCCAGAAGCCTCAGCGGGACGCATCCCACCTCGGCCCGCGCCCGCTGCCCACAGCCTCATAGCCAGCAGCATCTGAGTGACAAGAACAAGTCTGCTCGCCAAAGCCAGAAATAAGCCTGTCCACACAGGCCTTTTTTAAACATGCTGTTGGCAGCCTGTGGTGCCCACCCAGCCCAGCCTCCAGGTCGGGGCTCGCCTACCTCCAAGGTGCTCAATGCAGCCTTCCATCCTTGTGCTGCTGCCCTCGCCCCGGCTAAGGTGAAAGGTGTACCCGGCTGGCTTCTGCCCACCCCCGCCTTGGAACAGATGCCCCACTGGCTGCAGCCACCCCAAGCCTCAGGTCCGCAGGAAGGCTAGAGTGGTTGTTACTCTGGTGACCTGGCTGTGTCCCATCCTGGGACTTGTGGCAGGAGGTGGTCGCAGACCTGCATGGCTGAAGCCTGGGGTCCCCAACCCTTCCCTGTGCCTGAGGAGCCCTGGGGAGGGGGGTGGCACAACAATGCAGAGGGAACTGTGGTCAGCGCCTGCCCTGGTCTGCACGGGCCCGGGACCTACCTGCCCTCTGCCTCAAGGGTCCCAGCGCCCACCGAGGCCAGTGTCCCTGGGTGTGGCCTGACCTGGGCCCTCCAGCTGTGACCACTGGACCTTCCTGAGAAGGAGGTCAAGAGAAGGCAGAGGGCACTGCCAGGCCAGCGTCGGCGGTGGCCATGGGGCAGGCACGTGGCAGCGGGGCCAAGCCACACCTACGCGGGAACTTGGCTCTGGCCTGGGGCCGGACGGCTGGGAAGGCACTCGAGAGTCGTCCTTGGCTCCTCGCAAGGAGGGCTGGTGGCTCTGGGCGGCCCCCCTCCCCTCGTGGGGAGGGCAGGGCTGCAGCCACACCCTGGGCAGCCCCCGCATGCACTCCCCTGCCCGGGCCGGCGCCTCGCACCCAGGGCCTGCCTGGTATGCTCACAGGGTGGCCATCGGACACCAGTGTCCTCACACCCAGGTCTCACCTGTCCCTGACACCCCAGGAAGGGCACGCTCGTGGCATCAGCCTTGGCCCAGAGTGGGGTCTCACATTGCCCACGGCCCTGGTGCCCCCACCTAGCCCAGCCAGCCAGCCCAACCCCGGCCCTGGTCCCGCCAGGCCGCGTCCACTGCTGTGCGCAGCCCTGCCCCTTCTGGCCCCAGCGCCGCGGCCGACTCACGTGAACACGAAGAACAGGGTGCTGGAGCCGACCAGCAGTGCAGCCGCCGTGGCCACCGGGATGTACTTGGCGGGTTTGAGGCGCGTCCCGGGGCTGCGGGGCATCCTGGGCACCGCGCCGCCGCATCCCTCCCCGGGGCCGGGCGGGCGGGGCCGGCTGGACGGGCAGGACCCAGGCCCCAGCGGTGGCAGCAGAGGAAATCCCACCTCCCGGGCGGCGGCGGAGACAGCGTGCTGATGTCAGCGCGCCCCTTAAGGTGGACCAGCGGTGAGGAGCCGTGGGGCCGGGCGGGGCCCCCTCGCAACAGCTGGCCCCTCCCACCTGCCCAGGCTGCCACCTCCCTCCTCCTCCTCCTCCCTCTGAGCTCGGGGCAGAGCCGGCGGCGGACCCGCCCGCAGCGGGGCCTCTCCTCCAACTCCAGGCTGGGAGCCCGTGACCCTCTGAGGCCCTGCGGCCGCCGCACACCTGAGGTCTTGCCCACCGGGATACACACGGCGACCGCCAGACCTCCTGTCCCCAGCCCACAGGCCGCGGCGCTGGAGCATGTAGGTCCCTTCCGGGTCCCTGTTTGCACAGATCTT